ATAATTTTCCTTCTTCACTTGGTGATCCTTTGTGTTTCTCTTTCAAAGGTTTATTTACTTTTTTTTTTTTAGAAGTTTTGGGTTCGAATGATAAATTTTAGTTTATAAAAAGGATATGATTATAAGAATATTGCTAGTATTGCTTTTTGATTCAAATTAAAATTATATAATTCAATTAGTGTTTTCTTTCTCTACTATTCAGCTCTTATTACACACACGAGAACAACAAAGCATTAAATGTTATGTTTCATAATTTAACTGTGACTGCTGATGCCTCAGAAGTAAGACCTGGTAAATTATAAAAGGTATATGGTTCTATAAAAATCACATTTCTGTGTCTTGCAAAACATCCATCAATACAATTGGCTCAGGATTTATCTGTGACTATTAAAGGATAATAGAGGCTTAAACCTCTATTATTGTTAGTGCTGTTTTTCTTTGTTGAATGAATGACTAACATATTAAGTCTCTCATTAGTATGACATGTCATCAGTTCTCGACTCTTCAGCAGTATGCTCATCATCTCATCCTGTGTTTTCACTCAGTTTATTGTAGTGACTAGATGCTAGCAATGCCACAAATATTTGGAAAAAACAAGAGGTTGATACATTAGGGCTTACAGATAAGAATGTCTTTATTATGACTATTTGCATCATGAGATGATTGGCTTATACTGTATTTGTTTCTCCTTTATGCTTGACAGCTTTTAGAGTTTCTGGTGTTTAGAAAATATTAATATTTGTTTTAAGGTATCTTTTATAATTCCTGTTTATGGATCTTATAAGATATCTTATATTGTTATACGAAATTATTACACGAAGGTAACTTCTTGTAAATAAATGTATCCGTGAAGCTTTGTAGGTGTCTTTTCCACAGGTAGTCGTCAAGGGGCTCTCACTGACTTTTAATGTGAAAGTATCTTAATTGATTCTAACTTGACCACTTGATCGCCAAAACTAAAAAATCTTAAGTGTTACATTTTAGTTGGTGTTGCTATAGCTACTAAACTCTAACTCTGTGCTGACCAAGGTTGCCCATACTCTATAACTTACTAGTTTTGCATTGTTTGGCACCCCAAATTAACCAATTAATTCTTCCTGGTTTATCACATAGTAAATAAAGAATTAATGTTTATCAGCAGTATGTAAAATTATTTTGATTTTGGCTTTTTCTTTTAACTTTCAGGACACACATTTATAACATTGACTGTTTTGTTTATGACGCTAGCAACCATTGGCTAGCTGACTTAGCCAAAGAAGAGATAAGAAGAAAGTACACATGAGTACACAGAATGTTTCTAGTTTTTTATAAGTTTCTGGAGGCATGGACACAACATATGCAGTAGTGCTCTTCATTGTACACATTATTGTTCCTAAGGTGCTTAAGAACGTTAACAAGGTGAAGAGAAAAGAATCTGTCCTGGAATCACATTCTCAATACTCCTATGCTTTTGAAAATAGAAAACTTGCAAGACTGAGAATGATTATTTTTCTAAATGTGAAGGAAAGTGTAGAGATTTGTTCATGCTTAGAAAGTGAGCATGAAGAAAAAGAAAGATGACTCTTTTCAACTAGATATATAATAATGTTTTAACTTACAAAGGAAATTAAAAAGTTAAAAATGTTAATTGGGTTTTGAAAATAAACAAAAATGATGTTGCCCAGTCTCTTTCAAGCAAAATTGCCAAAGAGAGATGAATCTCATTATAAAATAACAATTCTTGACTCTAAGGCATTTTTATCTTATTCCATTAAAATGAGTCTGAATGTGTTGGTAAAATATTTTAAATGAAAAACATGTTAATGATCTAGAGTTGAGTATCTTGGATTAGTTGGTGGCAAAGGAGAAGTATAGAATGAAGAAATAATTTTTTTCTTTGTCACACAGTCACAGACAATTAACTAGGACTTAGCCCCTTGTAAGCTGGATCAGCTACAATTTTAATTTTTGTTTTTAGAGCAATCTCTTTTTGTGTGTAAAAAAGTCCTGTGAAAGGGCAAAAGGATGGAAGGTGTATTGGCTTAATGTTTTAAAAGCATCCAGAGATATAATATTAATATAAGAAAAGATTCTATATTTCTGAAGTAAATTATAAATCTTATTCTTTTGTAATATTAAGATTATATTAATTTATATCAGTGAACACATTGATTTTACATGTATATCAAAAAAGTTCAAGAAGATATGTAAAGAAAAATTTTCCCTAAATGAAATAAATAATTGATCACATTCTTTATCTCATGTGGTATTTGAAATTGATTTTTCTAAATATAAATAAGTTATTTTTATTTATTTTATTATTTATTATTATATATGCCTTCCTTTATTTGATTATTCCCATTACCATACTTCTTTTCTATCTCCAAAAAATAATTTTAAAAACCCTCTTGACCTACATCTACTTCCAACTGCTACACTGTTTCAGTTCCTCTTTCCAGAAAATATCATTGTTAGAATTGACTTTCTTTCTTTCTTTTTTCAGGCAGGCAACCCTTGGTTGACCTCACAGACTGCAAGGAGCTTGTCAACTTACGTTCTCTTATTTTTTATTTTTTATGCCTACAGCACTTGGTCTTCCTAGGTAGTCTCCCATCCAAGTACTAAACAGGCCCGACCCTGCTTCAGGCTTCCATGGACTGTGGCTCCACTAGGGTGTGAACCTAGGACCTTCTGCATATAAAGCAGACATGCTAGCTGCTACACTGTGGAACCACATCCCTAAATAATTTATTTTTAAATAAGAGATTCCCTTCTGCCTCTCATAAGTAGTTTAGAATGCTGTCCTTTTGGTTATCGTAGTGTGAAACATTTTTGGCACTATATTGTACTTTCTCAAGTATGTCATATTTTCTCATATTAGAGTGTTATATTACTTTTTACTGATTTACCTAGAGGTAATCACATTAATTTCTAGATTCTTAATATATTCTTATCATCTTACCAGTTATATTTTAAATGTTGGAATAGACTAGAATATACACATAACTAAATTTAACAGTAATTATTTGTCATATTGCTCTACTTTGTAGAAGTATTTTAAATTCCATACGCATCATGGCATTTCACTGTAAATACTTCAATATGTATTTCTAACAGTAAAGATATTTTTTTCTACCTAGCCACAATCATCAAAACTAACAAGCTTAACAATTTTCTAATGGTTTCTAATATTAGAAAATTGTTTTTAACTGTGCTAAAACCTCCGTTAATAGGTACGTATTCACCTACTAATTCATTCATTTGTTAAATAGGAGGACCTGTTCTGCTTGTGACAATCTGGTACTTCCTGGAGTAGTAGCAAAAATAATTGATACCTGAGAGCCTACTGCGTGCAGGTTATTATGTGCTGGATGCTGAGGTTACCAAGTTGACAACAACACAGTGTCTGCCCTCAAGTTGCATATAGTCTACCATAGAAAGACCAAAGTGATATACTTACTGAGAAAATGTAGAGTTATAAGTGGTATAGTAATTACCCAGACAGAATACAGGGGTCCCTGAGGTGTCTTTACTAGGTACATAAGTGGTGAGCAGGGAGATATTCAAGACAGGATGTGAACTGAAAAGGACAAGTAGATGAGGTTCACATGGCAGCACTGGGGACTGCAAATGGTGCTACATGCTTGAAGTAGGAAAGGCTTGGAGAGAGGACTACAGAGTGTCATGTGTTTAGTATAGAAGTTAAAATGATAAATTCTAAATATTTTTATTCTGCCTTGATTAAATTAAAAGTTAGGATCAAGGGCACAGGTTTATAATAGCAGGAATTTTAGATGTTGGTAAATACTGAACTTTGAAAGTACACTGATTTAGCCTTTATATCTTATTACTTAGATAAGAGTAAAGCTGAAAAAATATTTAACAATCAGTTATCTTACAATAATATAAACAGTAGGTATGTTGGGGTAATGGTATTTTCTTGTAGGATTTATAATTACTGTATATTCTGTCATGAAGTTGAATAGTTCTATTTTTTCCCAAGGTAACCTCTTCTATAAGATTACACTTCAGTTGCAAAGATTTTATGACTTTATTCTTGAGACTAATGCTTATTTGTTGTGAAAAACTATACTTACTTACCACATAAATACATGTTTTATATTATTTTACCACTATCACTATCAAATTTCTTGGAACACTAGAACATTAATAGTTTTTGTCTTATTACACCCTAGCACTGTATTTTTGGTTAGTGCCCATTTTACACCCACCCACCTTGACTATTCTCTCTATGCCCTTTGTCTAAATTAAAAACAGCTTCTCCTCTAAAGTTATGCTTCCTTTGTAGCCTGCTCCAGTGATGGCTCGTTCATTTTCATATTCTATATACTTCAATGTTGAGATGTGGTAGTGACAGTGTCCTTGCTTCCTGTTGCCACTACTTCCATCTCAAGTCTCCCATATACTCTGTAAAAGGAGTAACTGTTCTTTCATTCTGGTAGGGTAATTTACTAAAATGTTAAAATTTTTTCCTATAGTTTTCCTCTCTCAGTTCTAAGCAGGTAGCCAACTTTTGGTCTTCATTGCCACAGGGGACCATGATAAGATAGAAGCTGCACTGCTTAAAAACAACTGTCTTTCTTACTTGTTTTTCTCTAAAACTCTATTCTCTAATCCTGGACTAACCCGTAGGGAGGGAGGTAGAAGCAGAACCAGGAAGAGAGATTTCCCACGAACAACAAAGAAGACCAGTGTTGCTAATAACCTCAAAGTTTACCAGGTAGGAATCCTGACAGTTTCAGGAGTGGGGAGATTAGGACTCAGAGGTGAGTGATGGAAAGTATAATGATATAGTGATGGTTCAAAGTTGGGACTAGCAGGATTTATTAAAGGATCAGGTATACAGTTAAAAAGGAAGAAAAGAGTTAAGGTTGACACTAAAATTTTAGCCTGAGCAATACAAAGGGAGAGATTGCCATTTACTGAGCTGGGGAAAACTTTTGTAACAGAAAGGCCAGGGATTCGTTTTCCAACATGATAAGTTTGAAATGCCTTTTAGACACCAAAGTGGAGATATTTTATAAGTAGTCAAAAATACAAATCTGGAACTCAGAGGAGGTGTCCAGGCTTGAGATGTATATTTGGCAGTCGTCAATAGAAGAGCATGTGTCAAAGAACCCAAGTGAAGAAAGCAAGAAGACTGAAAGTCAACATTAGGGTTAGAGATCATGGGGGTGGGGTCCTGGTGATGAGATTAGTGTCTTTATAAGAAGAGACACCAGAAAGTGCTCTCTCTCCTTTTTTTCTCTCTCTCCTTCCCTCTCTCCTCTTCCTCTTTCCTCTCTCCCTCTCTCCCTCATTCTCTCCTTCTCTCTTCCTCTTTCTCCCTCCCTCTTCACCATGTAAGAACACAATGAGAAGGCAGCCATCTACAAAGCCAGGGAGTGAGCTCTCACCGAAAACTGACCACACTAGCACTCTGATTTTTGGGCTTCTGATTTCTGCTGTTTAAGCCTCACAGTGTATGGTATTTTGTTATGGCAGCTTGAGCTAATACAATGGCTAAATATAGTATTCACTATATTGTGTTAGTTTATAGAATACTAGATAAAGTCAGCTTATATTTTAAAGGGACATTTTGTATATTAATTTTGAAACTGAAAAGTATATTGAGATCTTTAGCAGTGTGATTTTTTATGTTATTTCACCTCTGTTTCCTCATCTATAAATCTCACAGTAGAAGCCATAGTATTTTTATGACAATTAAATCCATCAATTTTTGTAGAGTGCTTAGAATAGTGCCTGGCACATAGCATATTATATGTTTATTACATTAAGTATAAGTAAATAAAAATAAAGCACATTTGTAAAGTTATTAACTGCATTCCATATGTTTAAATGTTATCTTTTTACTACAGAAAACAGTTTAGGCCTAATACCTCCCTTGTTTGTTTTTCTCTTTGGGCCTTTTCATGACTATTATTAGACTGTTACTAATTAATATATTATTTTTCTCTATCTTGTCATTCAGCAGGGATACTTAGGCCTTTAAACCACAGACTTCCCTTTTCCTCATCCAAAACTTCTTAAAGGATATAAAGTATTTAGAGTAGAGCAGAAAAACATTTTCATTAATACTTTAGATTTTTCTACACAGCTGTATGTATGTATTTTATTTCTCCTCTCATCAAAGTGTACTATTATCTTTAGTCAATAATATAACAATTTAATAAGTCAGTATTTTCATTGGGAAGACAACATTTTCAAATAAGAGAAAACATGTTCAGAGTTGGTCCTCTGAACATTAATTTCTTCATCCTATATAAATAATGGTTGTCTTTGCAAACATAGTGACTGCAATACATGCACTTCCATTTTCTTTTAATCTAGAGAGGTTTCGTTATTGTCGCATTATTGTTTTTGTTTGAGAGCACATTTGAAACATTAGGAATGTTATCTCGATTTCTTTTTGCAGTCTTAGGGATCCTCCCAGATGTGTATATGCACTTAGTGATCTTTTTATACTCCATTGCACATTAGAGACATTATTGCCTTTCTATTAAAGAATTAGGTACATAAGCTGATCACGATTAAATTTTCCTCCATGGAAACTGGATAATACTCAGAATATATCAGAGTTATCTTCAATGTCCATTTCACTTCTAAGGAAATCAGCAGATCCTGAAGCCAAAATGCTTCTGGAAAGCTAGAGCTCCTACTTAGGTCTCCTGGATTTCACTTGGACTCTGTATTTCCCATCTTTTAATTTATGGGCTTTCATTCAGGGAGTAAAAACTGATTATCTTCAGTGGTAGAATTTCATCAAACACTCGGGCAAGGTGGAGATTGTAGCCATCTTTTTTGTTCAAAAAAAAGAAAAGAAAGAAATCAATCACTCTGAACCAAGACAGTTAGCAGCTGGCCTTGCAGAGACTGTTCTACCCAGAGGTGCCAATCGCTGCCCTGAGTGAGCTTCTGGGAGCACAAACGTCACAATGTGTATCCGCCAGCGGTGGCAGTGCTCTGCTACTGAGGAAAGAATCTAGAAAGTCAGAGGTTTGTCTACAGAGCAACCCAAGCTCTACTGCTGGTCTACAAACATTACAAAGACAAAATCTCCCTCTACTGGGCTCTCATTTTGCCCCAGGAGAAACACCTGTTGCCTAATCAGACTAGGGTTCTAACCAGGTGAACTATCAAAGTAGAAATGAGAAATTTAGGAACTGAGTCACCTTCTTTAAGTTCAAAAGCCTGCAGAATTCCTCATTAAAAAAAATTAAAATCAGAGCCCTCTGG